TCAGCGGGTCCCGTACGCCCACTGGTGGAGAAAGATAGACAGAACCCCAGATCCCAACAGTAACACAAACCCTCAGGAAGGGATCATCGGCGCCCCCTGGTGGGCAAGCCTCAGGATCCCAACAATTCCCAAGTACTTGTATGAAGACAGTCTCTCAATGGATTTCCCATCTAAGGACAAGATACTACAATTGCTTATCTTCAACATTTCAGTTTTAGTCAGGTGGTGACAAAAATTAATAAACTAAATTTACTCAATCTAAGAGAACATTTGCAAAAAGAGTTTTTAGCTATTATGTTTAATGCATAACGGACATTCATGAGTCGGTTATAACGTGTTTATAGACTAAATTGTTTTTATTGGTGGGGCACAATCAAAAATGTTCATCGAGTTAAATACAGGGCCTCTAATTAATTAATCACAATGATTTTATTTCATTCAAAAAACATGGTGACAAAACAAACAACCTTTTCAGTTTAAAAACGTCTCTTACTCATCAATTATTAATAAATAAACTTCTTAGCACAGGAACACTAATATGTATTGTTTTTATTCCATTATTTAGGTTATTCAACCATCACATTGTTAAATACTTAAAATCATTTAGCATTTTCATTTAAAAAAACTGATGTTTTTTGTAGCTTCTTTACAAAACTAATTCTTTAGAGGAGTTAACAGTATATAAACATTTCTTATAGAACAATTTCTTCAATTTAATATAGTAAAAGATTATTTTCAGCATAAAAAATTTACTTCAAGACTTTAACCTTTGCTGTAAACCAAAAATTAGTGTTCCATTTCCCATACTGGCAAAATAGTTCAGACAGCAGAATTATGCATAAAGTATTGATTTTCATAACTTAACATTTGCTTTTAAATATGCAACATTTATTGCAATTACGACATACAGAGGCCACTTTTCCTAATTAAGCAACTTACTAAGACAAACAATCTGGTGGCTTATGTTAAATGGTTTATGTTTTCAGATGTGGACTTACTTATGTTTGCTCTAAAGCTCTTCATCTGGTCCAATGTGGGCTGGTATGAGAATTTGTTCAGCAACTTTTGACTCTGACAATAAGTCAAACATCTGTGCTGCCGCAACATGAGACACAATAAGATGTTTTTTTAGCCTAAGTACTCACAGTGGACCAACGTTTGAGATGTTGCTTGTGCGTCAGATTTACAGTCGTGCAAGAAACAGAGAATACAAAGGATTCCACTTGGGACTTAAGTATGTAAAAAAAAAAAAAATGGAAATAGTTGCCCTGACTTTTACATGCATTAAAATCTACATAAATGATTGATAATTCAGCCATCAATAAGGGAAGACTTATTGTAAAGTGGTATCCAAATCTCTAATGAGTCTTGTGTGTTTTTTTGACCCAAGTCAGTTATTTGTAGGGGTGTAAATCACACCCATCATGGTGATTCGATTCAGTATCGATTTCCTTACCCAACGATTCGATTATTTTCGATACTCAAGAATAAAACCACGATTCGATTCGATTAATCGGTTAATTTTTTATTTTTTTTTGCACCTTACAGGCTAAACAAAGTTTCAAGTTTGAAATAAATCAATGAAAGCTGTAATATTGTTATGCATTTTTTTTTTTTACAAACAACAGCAAATAACGTTGCATCAAAAAATACTGCAAAAATACTACACAAAAACAGTGCAATGAGTGCAATTCAATACCTCGGCTCCAGACGTCCCGCCCCCTCCACTGTCACTCCGCTGCTCCTCTCCCAAATTGTAGCTGACCGCAGACAGGAGGCTGGCTTGCAGAAAACAACTCGTGAAGTTTGACCCGCTAGAAGAGCGAGGTGCACGAGAACATTGGGACCCTTTTTCCACCTGGATCTCCGCTCTTTTTGGCCCTCATGTCCCTCCGTCGTCGGACTAAACTCGCCCCCGCTTCCTCTCCGCCTCTGCCGTATCTAGACCCACAGCGTGTAGCACAGACCACGCTTCAATATTGAGCATAATTTAAAAATGTCTGTGTCAAGCTTGCTGCAACACACTGCTGTAAGAGTATAACCAGGAAGCGAGGTAGGAGGGCAAAATAGGTTTAGCGCCACCGCAGCATGGGAGGGAAAATTACACCCAGGAGCAAATGGATAAAAATAGACCGGAGGGGGAAAAAAAATATGAATCGATTATCTTGCGGACGTATCGATGCATCGGATCGTCGGCTGTTGGATTGATGCATCGATACAAAACTATTATTATTTACACCCCTAGTTATTGGTCAAGTGTCCTGACTTTAATAAAGGCGCTATATAAGTAAATGCCATTTACCATTTACTATAGGTCTGACAGGCAGGACTCCACCCTCCTCACATTTATTCTTCAGAAAATTAATAAACTATCGATTTTCTTCATTAATTAATCAGGAATTTTTCTCTCTCTTTTTCTTTAACCGTTAATCAACCAGGAAAAGTCCCATCAAGATGAAAAACAAAAGTTCTGTTTTTAAGAAGTCCTTGAAAAATATAACTTTACTCTATAAAGAAAGAAGTTATTTGGGTACCGTATGTCTCTCCTGGTTTAACTTGTCTTAAAGCCTGACCTTGTCCACTCATTTAAATAACTTAGACTCAGTCAGGCTGATTGGAAAACATCTGTAAAGATCAAATGCCAGTTACGTTCTAGGTTTTACCAACCTTTGTGAAACTGAAAGGTCGGGACTTTAAATCAACAAATCATGACCAAATGATCAATATGCTGTCATAAAAGCCACTTTATTCTAAGTCGTCTGTTTTTAAGGTTTATGCCTTTTCACAGGTGAACAAAGCAAAAGCAGATTCTAAGGTGGTTGTGCTTTATTTAAGCTCTATCTACCTTCCAATCGATTAAATCAATGAATAAAACCAAATTGAACCAAATTGAACACCTGATGCCGCCCTGATTCTTTTCACTCTGGGTTTGTTTTAAATGATGTACATGTTTTTACCACATAAGGGAGTCTCAAAGGCCATTGTTCTGCAGCTTTTAGATGTGCTTTAATGCACTTAATCAAATAATCAGGTCATTACTAGGACTCTTGAGAACTAGCCTGCATACCGAGGAGGTAATTAAGCCATTCGATACAGGTGTGTTGGTATAAGACCATGGATATATTTGAAAGTTGTAGGATGTGAAAAACATTGAAGAAGTTGTGTTGAGATTAAAACCCCTGAAATGAGGAGTTAACATTTTGAATATTGACCGAAAGGTAAAAATGTTTCTCACCTGACCGGCATATGTTCCCTATCCCCTACATGGCTAGCACTTGGGGACTTTCAACGTTTTTCAGTTCTTTTTACTCTTCTATAAAAGCAAGTTGTTGTGTTGGTGAGTTCTCTTGAATAATAAACTTTGAATATTTTATTTTACAGCCTAACCATGCTTTGAACTTATCAACAACTCTCTCCCTGACCTTTCTACCGTCCTGCTCTCTGAGATTCTGTTTGTACTTTTAAAGCCTTTAAGGAACAGCTGTACTCGTACAGCAATAACATCGCGCACAAGTAGAATCTTTCTAACTAATTTGGTCAGGGAAAGGCAGGTGGCTGCATCGGGATTATTGTTAGGGTATCAAAATAAGAAAGAGAATAGAATGCATTTCAAACTTTTAGTATCTTTATTTTTCTTTAAACGTTTCAAGACTATGTGCAGGATGGATCAAGGGCTGCTCAGTAGACCAGAGGGTAGCACTGCTGCATTGCAGCTTGAAGGTTCCTGGTTTGATTCCCAGCCAGGGTCTTTCTGCATGGACTTTACATGTTCTCCCTCAGCATGTGTGGTTTCTCTCTGGGTACTCTGGCTTCTTCCATCAGTCCAAAAACATGACTGTTAGGTTAATTGGCTTCTCTAAATTCTCCTTAGGTGTGAGTGTTTGTCTCTGTGTTGTCCTGTGATGGAATCCAGACCTGTCCAGGGTGAGAGGCGGAGTTTTACCTCGTGACCCTGCATGGGATTAACCTGGCTCCGCCAGATGGATTTACTCCGCATATCCATCTGGAAACCTTCCGTTGCAGTAATTTTGGGAAGGGGCGAAAATACTGGTTAGCTGATTGGCCTATGTTGGTGATAGACGGGCCAAATAAACCAATCAGATCAACGAAGCATATGACGTACTAACAGAGCGACGACGAAAACACAACCACAAGCCAGGCTACTTTTGCCGAAACCAGTCGGGAGAAGAGCAAAAACATCTTTTCCTCTGAGGAAAGCCTCCAGAGCAGTGTTTTGCTCTTCTTTCAGTGAAGAAATACTCTGTAATTCAGATAAAACTTGCTCGATAGCCACGCTAACGCTAGTTTCATCGGCTGAGGCCGCCATGTTCTTTAGACTGAACTGTTGCGTCACACCTCAACCCGCCTCAAAGCCAACGCTGATTGGACGTTTGTTTGGTGAACGGCTCCAAATTTTCTTCAACGCAGAGTCTCCAGACTGGTCAGCGAGTGAAATCTTGAAAGCTCGCGAGATCAGGATGGTCTCATGAGGCTAGCATGGGATAAGCGTGATGGAGAATGGATGGATGGATCATGTATCAAAGTTTGTGGAAACAATGTGTGTTAATAATGGAATAGCAAAAGAAGACTTTTTATGAAATTGAGCCAGATGAAACTTATTTTTTTCCATTTAAGGGGTTTTGTATAGAGCATATTGACGGACGAAAAAGTATTCTTATCTTTAATAATACATTTTTACATGTTTTTTTTTCACAATCTTGGTATAGTTACTGCTCTAGGTGGGTCGCTCTGTAAGCTAAAGGCATATTTTAGAGTTCCCACACTCCAGTTAACGATTAATCGGTTACTGAATTAGTTTAGTAACTGCAATAATCGGATTAATTAATTAATTAATTAATCCGATTATTGTTTCGCCCTAATGGGTATATTTCTTTGTATTATCATATGGGGATGCCTATTTGTACTTTTTATAATGGGTCTTATGTATGTTGAGGATAAGAAGTGTCCTGTTGACCTTGTCAATCTGTCTCTCCTTCCAGCCCTTAGATTATGAGAGCAAGAAAGCGTTCACATTGAGGGTTGAGGCGACCAACGTTCGCTCGGAGCCCAGCAGCGGTGTGCCCTTCAAGGATACAGCCACAGTCAAGATAGTGGTGGAAGATGCTGACGAACCTCCGGTTTTCTCCAAACCCATGTATCTACTGGAGGTGAAAGAGAATGCTCCCATCAACACGGTGATAGGGGCGGTCACCGCCAGGGATCCAGACTCCTACGGGAGCGTCGTCAGGTAAGCCCTAGTGAACAATGATCCGCTGACACAGCCTTTAGCTTTTACAGCTGAAATATTACCGCTGCTAACTCAACACATAAAGCTGGAAAAAAAGCTCAGTAATAGATCTTTAGTAGAAACTGGATGAAATTCTTTTCAGGCTGTAATGACTTGTTTTAATAACGGGGTTGACACTCTGGCATGCAGTTAATTTTCCTCATGTTGCTGACCTTTGGAACATGAGGAGGTGCTTCAAGCACAAAGGAAAAAAACCTTAAGATTGAACTCCATTCTAGAGATGACAAAAAAATTATAAAGTAGATCATGAGATTTATTTAAAAAAAGGCGTAACTTCCTTTCTTCAGTGTGGGAGCAGCCTATCAGAAACAGAATAGGTTCTTCGCTTGTGTGACTTATTCTTGGAAATACCACAAGGGCACCTTGAGGACAGGTTATACAGGCAATTTCTCTTTCTCCACTTTGGCATTTCATTAATTCTCCAGTGACTTGCTGACCGCATTCCCGGGACAACACTCAACAGGTTGTGTGTAATTGCCTGGCTAGCAGAGAGCAGGCTGGGTTGCGGAGATTGGTTGATTCTATAGAGCAGGACAGGTCTATTCTACTTTCCTTTTTTTTTTTTTTTCTACATTTCCAGCAGCATTTTCATGTATATAGATGAAAATTGGAAACTTAGGAATTCAGCCCTGAGGTAGCAGGATGCCTTTACTCTCATGTTTTATGGCATATTTGATCTTTTTGGCCTTTTATGTTGGCAAGTTCTTATGTTTATGAGAATATGTTTGTGTTTTAGTATTAAGAAAAATAAAGAAATGTTTGTGAACTCATCTTGAAATGTTCTTTATATTAACTAGAAAGTTACAGTAATGGTTACTTTTGAAAAATACTCAGTGTATTTTTGTTCAGTTTCTTATTGAAGGAGGAAGTGATTAAATAATGAATGAGTGACTGCAGATGGCATCACCCTCCTGCCGAGGACTTTTTGTGCATTTCCAGCTATATATCTGCCCACATATAAATATTCAGTCTTATCTTTAACAGCTTTAAACTGGGTCATATGCCTTCCTCCTTATGGACAAGGTTGCTTGGATACGTTTTGGGTTAGCCCAAGAACGTTTTCACTGAAACAGTTGACTTTTAGTCATTTATTTTGTTTTTTACATCCATGTTGTTGTGGCTCTTTGCCAAATTTAAGATATTGCAGATGAAAGTTTGTCCAAAACTTGTTTTATTGAATGCTCCATAAATATGTTTAAGTGGCATTAAAATGCATCAGGCTGCATCAAATTCATCAAAACGGTTATGTCTGGATAGTGCTGGCAGTAAGGAAAAAGATGTGAAAAAGAGTGTGTATGGTTCCAATCACAGTTCCTCATTGGTGCAGTAAGGAATCCCATAATCTTTTGAGTGACATGATATACTGTATGGTCACAGACTCATGGAAATTTAGAAAGGTACACGCCTTTATATGTTTTGGTTTGTGTTTTGCCAAATTTGTGCAACTTGTGTTTTTTTTTTAGGTTCTTTTTTGAAAGGCTGTCATTGCAATATGACTAGCATCGTGAGAGTGTGTTTTAGTTGTGTAATGATGTCTAGAAGGCTAAAGGCTCTCCAGATTAAGCATGGCAGTTTCTATCCTTCCCATAACATAGTTTTTACTGTTCACTAAAGGTTAAAGCGTAGCATACACTGTATGATTTGTTCAATCGTTGCACGCAGCTACAGTTCACAATGTTTGTTCTCACATTTTGAGGCCCAACACTCTGATGCAATCTACCTGCTAACACTGTACGTCAAAAAAACCAGGTGGGACTCAGCTCCGCAGTGAGATGGCGCTACTCTGACTCTTCTATCCAGAAGCCAAATGAGCTGTCATGATTTAATTCTATGATCTGACCAACATGCAGGAAACCAAACAGAGAGACCAAGGGAAGGTTTAACAGGTTTATTGAGAACTGGTAGAGATGGATCCAGTGCTGCTCTGAACACTGGCGAACCAGGAATGAAAAGTGAAAGGGAAGTTCTTGTGGTTAGTTCAGGCTCAGTGGGAAATTTGAGCTTTGATTTGCAAAAAGGGAATAAAGGCAACGGGACTCACGTTTCCAGTAAAAGGTGTCTTTCTCTGAATCCAGTCGGTGTTGCTCGTTGGAGGGCGGACAGGGTTTACCCAGGTTGAGGTGTTTCCTTGACGAACAGAGGATCTGACTGCCACTTAGATTTCCAATGGTACTTTCCCTTGGGGAAAAGTAGATCCAAACCACTTGTTTGAATCCTCAGCTTAGTTTGACGCTCTGACAATCCTTCCAGGCGGAGAAGGTCCAAAACATGCAGTTTGCAGGAAGACTTCCTGCCGAGAGGCAAAGGCAAAAAAACAACAAGGTTAAGACTCAGGTGACAAAAACTCAGTTCGACTCAGTAAAACTCAGCTTGGTTAGGGTATCCAAAACTGGCAAACACTCTGGCGTCGAAGTAGTGGCAGTCAGCAGCTTAAGGCAACCATCCGTAGGTGTGTGAGAAGGCCAACGAGAACCAGGCGCCACCTGGTGGTGGAGGGAAAACATACAAAAACACTACCCACACAAACTGGATTCCTATCCTTTCCTGCTGAAAGCCCTACAAAGAAAAGGTGACGACATATTTAGACAAAGACATGGCTGAGCAAACATGGCTACTACGGTCTGTCAATTTTACAGAAAGAACTCCATTTCACTCATTACACCCCTGCCATGCTTCTGTTTTCGTCTGAGAGGAAGAAGAAGCTTTGTTGTTTGCACACTGAGCGATTTGCCCACAATGGCTGACCTAAAATCAAAAATGTTTGATTTTCTCCCGAACTCACGATTCCTGATTGGGAGTTGGTAGTGAGAGGCTGTTACCCCCTGTATACTACAAAAGTCGGGGCGATCGAAAAATTCATGCATGACTGGAAAATTGGCCCGAAAAAAGCAAAAAATCTTACAGTGTTACGTAGCCATTTCTAAGACTTCCAGCAAACCAAAATAAAAGCTGCTATTACCAAAAAAAAACAACAACATAGAACTGTGGTGAACATGCCCAGATTCACTCATGAAGGATACCCAAATTGCTCCAAGAGTGTTTCATCCAATCAGTTACCAAATAATTCAGAACAACTTAATCATCCCAGACCTCACTGTCAAGTTGCTCCGATTAGATTCAATGCTGATGTTCGACAAGAGCGTTGGAAAAATCCGCTGTGGTCTTATGGGACAAGATCTTTGGAGGAAATATTTTCTGACCTCAAGTGTTGGTCCACTTGGGCTCTGCAACAGGTCCGTGATGCAAAGTACACAAGTCGGAGTGTGGGTTTTCACACCTGCAAATATCGGACACCAACGCTCCACCTTGTAGATGTTTTTTCTCATTATAGACTGATATAAAGATTGTTGGAAAGTAGTCTGAGAAAGTTCCGGAACAGAAAGACAGAGTTTGTTCTCTGATGTCATTAGGATGTGGTTTTCTAGGTTGCACTGCAGTCACTCTACATGATGATTAGATAATTCTGTGCTTAATTTAGCAAGACCTGGCTCTTTGTTTATAGTTCAAATTGAAAGAACGAGGATGTGATTAGTTTTTCATAACTATATTTTCCATTTTGGCTCCTACTTTGCTTTGGACATACTTACAGCATATAAATATGTTTTTGCATCCTTTCTTACAATTCAGAGCTAGCATATTCTTTTGGCTTGTCTTTTTTGCAACTGTACCTCCATCCTCGGGTGCATAATTTAAGAGCATCCATCACAGATGTTGAGTGCTTTCTTTGGGCTGTCGGTGGGGGGTGAGATGAAACAAAGTATTGTCGTGTGGAGGCCTTAAGATGATGCATCAGCCTAAACCTCAAAGACAGTTTGATTGTACTTCCAGTCACGCTTTGTATTAGCCTGTATGTCTGAGCACTGTGCTGATAAAATGATTACAGGCTGGGAGATTTTAATCCTACAAAATATACTAGCTGAAAGAGAGCTGTACCCACAGCAAAGGCTTTTATATAACATCACAGGTGTTTCTAAATAATGAACAGCCTGAGGGGGGAAAACCCTTGCCAGATAACAAGCCAAATCCCAAACTTTGGCTCTACCATTATTAGATATTACTCTGTCTGAAACATTGTAGGAAGGTGTAATATACTTGTTCGGTTATGATGTTTTTGTCATCATACTTTTATATATTCAGGTCCAATATTTTTCCATAAAACTTAAAAAAAAAAAAAAAAGAGAAACAATCGTGAATACCTTAGTGTCAGCTCTATCGCTATGCTCGCTCTTACAATTGAATTAAATTATATTCACAGTAAACAATAACTGCTACAACTTTTTTTCCCCCTTTTTTCCATTTTATGCAAATAGGTTTTGCTTTCATAACTCACCATCAACCAGATTCTTTTGACAATTCTGAAGTCGGAAAAGATTGATCTACAGAGCATTGCAGTTGTAGTACGTTTTCCCTTTTTTTCTGGTTAAAACCACCGAGTGTGGTGTTTTAATGGTATTTTATGTGAGTAGATAAACAGAAAAGTAGTGGATGATGTGAAGAAAATGGAAAATCACACATCAGATAACGGATTTTCTCAAACATATCTAAAAATTGTGTTTTTTTCCTTTGGACTCATCCCACTTTACTATGACACCCATGAATAAGATCCAGTAGGTGTTTTCCTTTTCAGGTCAACTATTTCTTCTTGAGACTCCACTTAGTATAATTTCAGCTGCAGGATGGAGACCAAACAACAAAGAAACAGCATCCCACTGCAAAAACGATCCAGAAATAAGTAAAAAATTCTTAAATTAAGTATATTTAGCCTTAATTTTAGCAGGTAAATAAGATGATCTGCCAATGGCATTCTATTTTTGCAGTGCACGAAGGCTGAGGAACACAACAATCAAAGAAAGATATGAAAGAAAACAAATTTGGGGATGTTAAGAGCAGGATTAGGTTTTCAAACAAAACTTCATGTATCCAATAGAGCGTTGTTTACT